AACACTGCACCCATAGAGAAGGCTGTTCAGAATTTTAAACTCAATGCCTCACACTCGATCAATTCCTAATCAGCATGCTACAAGATCAGAAGATTGTATATGCCTTCCACTAGTCTAGCAGATACTGCACAAGCAAGTTATAAAAAAGTAGCAGATGCAGGTTAAACATTGCTATATATATCAGAATATCCGTAAGTCATATAAAAGGGACTGAGAAGGAAGATATTTAAAACATCCCCCCATTTTATATTGTATAGTCTTTTAGGCAGAAGACACCTATTGTGCAGCCAAGAAGCAATTTTGCTGGTAGTTTATTTAAAACAAAACTGAAGTTATAGGGATATTCTCCGAAGATGATGGCTTTTACTGGGGGTGCCCAATTTCAAATATGAGAGAGTAGAACAAGAATACTGAAAATCTGTCTAAAGCTCTGTGCTGTTACACACTGAGCTGGACAGGTAATTGTTCAGAAGCATTATAGCATTAAGAACTTTAGTATATAAGCTTCAAACAAAAGCTGGAGGTTAGGAGTCAGCTGATTATTTTTGATAGCTAGCTCATGTTTGTCTTTTCAATGGAATACTGATGAAGAACTGAATGTTAGCATATCCCTGCTTTGTTCTCAGCCCAGAGTTAAGCCTTTTGGGAGTCAGAAACAAAACAGACTTCAATTGCCCTAGACACTGAGTAATGACTGTACTGAGCTAACACCTCAATCCTTAGAAACAGGGTTACAATAGTTAAATATCCAGCTTGCAAAGTCTCCTGTCTGAAGGATCACGCTCTTTCTGAATATTTAATTATTCTTATACAAAATAGTCCACAAGAAGATATTTACTACAATTTAGACTTTGGAGAGGCAGAGTGATTAACAGATGAAATATGGGACCAGAAATCAGACACCTAAGCAGACAGAAAATGCATCAGTATCCTGTGACTTTAAATTTAAACTTTATCCAAAGACAGATCATAATATTGTAGTTTTTTGATAAAAGAGAAAAAAAAAGCAAATCTATATGAGAGCTACGTTCTCTCACACATGAAAACTAAGTGAAGTGCCAAAAAAACTACAGATAAGTTTTCTTTCATTTTCAAGCCTTTCTTTGAAGCAAATCATGTTATTTCAATCTCATCTATTGAATCAAAAAGTAGTTCTGCCTTCTGATGCTTATATAATGGGACCTAAACAAGTATAACATTCTGTGTCACAAATGTGAAATGTCTCATTAATCTGTTCACAGGTTTGAAAGTCTGTAACTGTATTTTGTCCCTAAATCAGAATTATGAAATGGCCATTTAGCACTGATCTGGGCATCAAATGCTCAGACCAGAAATATCACCAACAAAAACTGTATGCAAGAGGCCACCAAAGCCTGATTTCTGCTACAAACAAAAAAAAACTTCCCCAATGAAATGACGACTTTTAAACTGACACTTGAAAGTTGTCTAACAATACTATGATTTTCATTGTTAAAGTCACTCACTACTGAGGAAACCAAACTGAAAAAAAAGACACTTGTGACTAATACAACAGCAAACATGTTTATAAGCCAAGGTTAATTCAGTGATTCATTCAGATGTTAACATTATAATATTCACGCACCAGGTCAGGAAAGGTTCCTCTTTAACCCCTCAGCTGGATGACTGCCTACATAACCACTGCCAGTACAAGCTTCCTTGATCATGGATCAATGTTAAGCCTTCAGGTTTAACTCTCACTTCATGCCCAGAAAATCTGGGGAACTTAAGGTCCATAAAATAAGTGTCCATCTGCTTTAACTTGGTGGCTACACAATGATCTAGGATTTCAAGAAAAAAACAATTGTTGCATCTGCCAACTATGTATACATTTTTTTTTAACCCCTCTAAAGCACCCCACTTGCGTCTATTTCCATAAATGAAAGAAAGTAAGCTTTCTCAGTGGAGTTTCAGCCACAAAGTATACTCATTATTTTCTTCAACACTGAAAAATCCACCAAGTGAGCAAGATAAAACTATGCAATTACTCCAGTACTCTGTTATTGAAGGAACTTAGCCATTTACATACTAAAGATACTAAAACATTGAACCCAAGCCTGATATCTAGTTACATTTAGATCTATACTTGCTTTATTAGCATACCTGGGTATTCAAAATGCATTACTACTTATTCTCTTCTATCAACTCAGAACCAGGTCTAACTATATTTACCTTTCTTTTCACACATAATTAGACATGAGCCTTACACTTACATTCCTTTATAAATCCTTAAAAAATGTGTTGTAGCAAAAATGGTCAGTAATCAGACAGACCAGAAAATCATTAGCGTGTCTTGTTTACTTTTTTGCTAGTTTTTATTGTTAGATTGGGATGAAAAATAGCAAATATCACCACACTATTAACTAAATAACTCATATCCTTGACTAAAGCATCTGTTAAACCAATGTTTTATTAGTTAATTTAACTATAAATTGTTCTCCCTGAAAATAATCTAGTGAACAACATATTTTTGAGCAGGAGTTAAAAAAAAATCTGAACAATGCAAACAGAGTTCTCTTCCAAAGGCAAATCATCTCTACACTGTAAACTTTGGTGGCCAGCTCCTAAATCAAAGCACTCAGGTCAGCCTAACCCAGGTAAGAGACACACCACCACTGCAAAGCAATACCCACATTAATGGCCTTTGCTATTTCTACACTCTTCTGTATGCGTCTGGAGGATATATCCCATAATTCTCTGGACTGAGTCATCTAATGTTTCTTTCCAATCCAACTATGTCAGAACTAACTTACATGCACTTCAGGCCAATTCTCCAGTGGTTTAGGCTGCATTATCACTGCAAACTAAGTGTGTTTCAGTGCCACTTAAAGCACAGACAGGATTCTAACCTATATTCTCATTCGGATAAGCCAGGCAAAGCTTAGTACACTTAAATCAGGCAAAATGTATATGGGAACAGTAAAGAGTCTGAACTGAAACACAGCTTAACTCTACATTGAAGACATAAATGTAGTTATACTTCAAATCAAACACATTACTTGAAATTTGTCTCCACCACATTTATTTTTCATCTTCTACTTTTCCAATTTCTTCTTAGAAATTCACTAGGAATTGTATTTCTGTATTCTTTTTAGGTGGTTGTGAACATACCACGCATGCTGTGACTTGATTCAAGTTTTTAACATCTATGAAGCTCACTGCTCATTGCACATTCTTTATTTCTATCTTTGTAAAGAAAGCAAAATTATGAATGGCTTGGTAAGATCTGCAGCACTGCAAATGCACGGATCAATGTTCTGGGAACATACCATACCCTTAGGAGCAAATCAAAAGCATATAAGGCCACTAACCCACGTACAACCTCTGCTGAGGATCCTCCACAATTCTGAAGTGGGTACTGGACTTGAACCAGGACCTGAAGACCTTAACAGCAGCAACAGCCATATCAATTGAACTACTAGAGAAGCAGCAAATCAAGAATTAGAATTTCAGTATTTCTTCTATGACGCAAAGTTACTCATCACTGGTCATCTTCCTCCAGTTCTGCCAAGTCACAAGATTCACTATCACTCATAACCTTTTGCCCTCCCCCAACCTAGACACACTGGGAACTTTTCTGGTTAAAAAAGTCTGGTTAAAAAAGTCTTCAACCCTTACATTTCAGACCTAACAATTTCATTACCTAAGTTGTATGAAGTTTTAAGACAGGTTTTTACTCCCTCTTATGGCAAAGTATTTTGCTTTGCAGCTATTTCAAAGTATGCGCCATCTCTCTCAAATATTTGGAATGCTTCATTCATTCAGATTGCCCCAGTTTAGGAAAAAGCCCTAGCAAATGCAAATTTGTAGTTAACTCCAATAAAATTCACAAGAAAAAAAACCCACTCAGAGTATGGCAAAGGCTCTGCCTTCCTGAAAACACAAGCAATTTGCTGTTTTAGGAGAAGAATACACACTTCTACCAGTTGGCTAGCCTGGCATGTCACAAAAGCCTCTACATCTTAATGACAGTCCCCTTCCCATGCTGGTATGAAAGATGAGGAAGAGAGTTTTTCATTTTGTGCTCTGATTTCCAAAGAAAATCCTAACACATTTACTCCCCCATGCCCACCCACCACTTCAACACTTACAGACCCCCTCCTTCCCACAAACACCCTTTGGGATAGAAGTGGACACAGTGCCAGCCACAAGCTATAGGGGCAAGCTATGAAGGCTGCAGGGGGGCAGAATTTGGAGGGGATGTGTGAACAGTGTGGGAGTGCTCGTGGGGGGGTGTATGCAGATGCATGGAGATGCGTGGTGTGCATCTGTCTGCATGTGCAAACGGGAGGTGGGGTGTGTGCGTGCACGTGGGTAGACAGGGAAGGGCATCAGGTGTGAACACGGACCTGTGCACATGTGTACATGCAGGGGGATAATGTGGGCACGCATGCATGCACTTGTGCGTGCAGATGGACGAGGATGGGCCTGCAGAGTGTGCAGACAGGAGTCAAAATGGGGTATTAATTTATAAATGTCATAAGCGTTGCTCATTGTAACTCAAATGTTGTAAAGTCAAGGACTGCCTGTAATTCTCAGCTGGGTGCTTCCAAGGGTACCACAGGGTGCCATGCAACATTAGCACTGATAGGTGTGTAAACATGATCCACAGGGTGTGGACAGGAGATGTGCATGTGTGTGTAAACGGGGCGTGGTGAGCATGCGGACACATCAGAGGAGTGGTGCATGTGGGCGAGTGGCCAGGTGAGGTGTGAGGCATGAGTGTGGGTGCAGGCGTGTCCACGTGCATTTGACTGGGCAGGGCAGGAGGTGTGCGCACCACACAGGTGCCCAGGTGCCGCTGGGACCTTTGCCTCCGGAGGGGGAGGGGGGTGTCCCCCTACCCACCCCCCACAGTCCCAAGCGGGTGCCCAAGGGGAGCCCCCGCCCCCCCCGGGCCACGTCACGCGAGCAGGGCGGCCCCTCCCCCTCACCCCACCCCCAGACAGGCCCGGCCCGGCCCGGGCCGGCCGCGGCGGTACCTGCACGGCGGCCC